TCAGACATTTCGTCACCGTGCTAGGTGACATCATCAGTGGAGCCTCCGATAAAGCGGTGTTATTCTACTCCGTTTGAAATTTATACTGTCCGGTCTGTTATAGTGATTAGTGTCATTTCTGGTTTTGATCTGTATGGGTTTGTATATGGGGTCCAATTCTACATGCTTGTTGATTGCATTACGGGTGGAGAACTGTAAAATGGCACGACAGACACTCCTGAATATCGGTACATTCAGACAATGAAGGCTATCAGTTTAACTAGGACAAAGTAACCATAGTAACCCAAGCCAAACATAGACACGCACGGGAATTCCTAGAGGCATGGTTCTCCACCCAAACCCATACAGATCAAAACCGGAAATGACACGACTCACCATAACAGACATACAGTATAAATTCCTAGCGGAGTAGAATAACATCATCCACTGATGATGTTACCTAGCATGGTGACAAAACATCCGAACGAGAACAAGCCAGCTTGGTGAGCAAGACAACAACCTCACCCACAATCCGAGCTACAGATCTTTGCCAAAACTTTAAATATATTTGTTTCAATTCAGCCAATTGTATTTTCTGCTTAAAATGTGGTTAGTTCCAAACTGTGGAGAAAAATATGCAGATTGAGTAATCTCCTTGCAGAATACCTCTGTTCAGACTGCAATCATAACCCTGAGCTTCAGGTAGCTTGCTATCTCAATTCTTCAACTTGCTTGCACATGGTTATGTCCTGTCTTGGCTTACCACAGTGTTCCAATTAAGCTCAATGCAAGCTTGAAAAACATATCTTTTGATTTGGCACTTTACATCCTGCTGGCTGCATATGAATCTGTCCATGACAGGGATACACAGGCAAGGTGGGTTAGCCATGGGAGATACAGGATTACATAGATAGGGTGGGGGGATATGCCTGGGTGGGGTACTCTTCAATGGATCAGTGTGAACGCAAATGGCCTGCTTCCGCACTGTAGGGATTCTATGATTCTGGAGTCAATACTAAATTCAAAAATTTCATGCGATAATCTCTGTCACAACTCAATTTCCTTTCTTTGGCTTTTTTGCAGCCCTAATCTTTTGGTTTTGGAAGGCAGCTGTTCATTATTCTGCAACTCAAACCTCACTGGATACATAATTTATATTTTAAACTGTCCATTTTAATTTCCCTTGGCTTTGACCTCCAACTGTTTCTGTAGTTCTTGTTTCAATCTCTCCCCCCTGAAAATTACATTTCCAACTTTTCCCAATTCTAATGAAGGGTCATTAACCTAAAACTCTGATTTTCTCTTTACCCAGATGTTAACAGACCTGATGAGATTTTTACAACATTTTTATTTTCAATTTCCTGCATCCACAAGATTTTGCTCTTGTGTCAGAGGCTGATGCAAATAATTACCTTCCTGTCTTTCTATTTTCAACAAGTCAGTTATGTGATACAATACTCCCTCGCTTGCCTCGTGAATGCAGTTCCAACAACACTCAAGAAGCATGAAACCTTTCAGGATAAAAGAGCCTGTTTGCATCCCATGCACCACATTGAAGATTCACTTCCAACACCAATAATGCGCAATGCTTTCAGTGTGTACGACTTAGAAGATGTACAGAGGGAACTTGTTTGTGGTTTCTTTAAAAGGACCTTCTAAATCGGCAATTTTTTTTCTATTCATTTGTGGGATGTGAACGTCACTCGCTGGCCAGCATTTCTTGCCCATCCCTAGTTGCCCTTGAGAAGGTGGTGCTGAGCTGCCTTCTTAAACCATTGCAGTCCTCCTGCTGTAGGTTGACCCACAATGCTATTAGGGAGAGAATTCTAGGATTTTGACCCAGCAACAGTGAAGGAACGACAATATATTTCCAAGTCAGGATGGTGAGTGACTTGGAGGGGAACTTTGAGATGGTGGTGTTCGCATATGTCTGCTGCCCTTGTCCTTCTGATAGAAGGGGTTGTGGGTTTAGAAGGTGCTGTCTGAGGGCCTTGGGTGAATTTCCGCAGAGCATCTTGTAGATAGTACACATTGCTGCTACTGAGTGCTGGTGGTGGAGTGACTGGATGCTTATGGATGTAGTGCCAATTAAGCAGGCTGCTTTGTCCTGGATGATGTCAAGCTTCTTGAGTGTTGTTGGGGCTGCACCCATCCCAGGCAAGTGGGGAGTATTTCACCACACTCCTGACTTGTGCTTTGTAGATGAGGACAGGCTTTGAGGAGTCAGCAAGTGAATTACTCGCTGCAGTACTCCAAGCTTCTGGCCTTCTCTTGTAGCCACTGTGTTTGTGTGGTGAGTCCAGTTGAGATTCTGGTCAATGATAACCTCCAGGATGTTGATAGTGGGGGATTCAGTGATAGTAACACCATTGAATGTCAAGGGGTGGTGGTTAGATTGGCTCTTATTGGTGATGGTCAAAGCCTGGCATTTGGGTGGCGTGAATGTCACTAGCCACATGTCAGCCCAAGCCTGGATATTGTCCAGATCTTGCTGCCTTTGAACACGGACTGCTTCAGTATCTGAGGAGTCACGAATGGTGCTGAACATTGTGCAATGATCGGTGAACATCCCCACTTCTGACCGAATGATGGAGGGAAGGTCATTGATGAAGCAGCTGAAGATGGTTGGGCCTAGGACACTACCCTGATGAACTCCTGCAGAGATGTCCTGAAGCTGAGATGACTGACCTCCAACAACCACAACCATCTTCCTATGTGTCAGGTATGAATCCAACCACCGGAGAGTTTGTCCCCTGATACCCATTGATACCAGTTTTGTGAGGGCTCCTTAATGCCACAATCAGTCGAATGCAGCCTTGATATCAAGGGCTGTCACTCTCACCTCGCCTCTGGAATTCAGCTGTTTTGTCTATGTTTGAACTAAGGCTGTAATGAGGTCAGGAGCTGAGTGGCCTTGGCGGAACCCAAACTGGGCGTCTCTGAGCAGGGATAGTAGAAACTGCAGATGCTGGAGAATCTGAGATAACAAGGTGTAGAGCTGGATGAACACAGCAGGCCAAGCAGCATCAGAGGAGCAGGAAGGCTGACGTTTTGGGCCTAGACCAGAAGGGATGTGGCAGGACTGCGGAGCTTAGATCTGATCTGTTGGTTGTGGGATTGCTTATCTCTGTCTATCACTCGCTGCTTTTGCTGTTTGGCGTGCAAGTAGTCCTGTTTAGTGGCTTCACCAGGTTGATGCCTCATCTTCAGGCGTGCCTGGTGCTGCTCCTGGCATGCCCTCCTGCACTCTCTATTGAACAAGGGTTGATCCCGTGGCTTGATGGTAATGGTTGAGTGGGGGATATGCCGGGCCATGAGGTTACAGATTGTGCTGAAGTACAATTCTGCTGCTGTTGATGGCCCACAGTGCCTCATGAATGCACAGTCTTGAGCTACCAGATCTGTACAAAGTCTGTCCTATTTAGCACGGTGATAGTGTCACACAATACGATGGAAGTTATTCTCAATGTGAAGGCAGGACTTCGTCTCCACAACGACTGTGTGATGGTCACTTTTACCGATACTGTCACGGACAGATGCAACTGCAGCTGGAAGATTAGTAAGGATGAGATCAAGTATACTTTTCCCTGTTGTTGGTTCCCTTACCATGTGCCGCAGACCCAGTCTAGCAGCTATGTCCTTTAGGATCCGACCAGCTCGATTAGAGTAGTGCTGCTGAGCCACTCTTGGTGGTGGACATTGAAATCCCCCACCCAGAGTACATTTTATGCCCTTGCCATCCTCAATGCTTCCTCTAAGTGTTGTTCAACATTGAGGAGTACTTTCACTGTCTGGACAGAGAAGAGCTGTGTGAACAGCAACTATATCTAGCAAGTTGCGCTCTGTCCAGACTTGGAAATGTACCCCAATATATGTTCCTTCATTGTCAGTGAGTTGAGGACCTGGAACTCTCTCCTTGACAGGGACGACCTGCATTTCATGGATTACAGTGGTTCAAGAGGTTGGCTTGCCACCTCTCAGGGGCAGTTATGGAATGGCCTTCCCAGTGATGACAACATCCCATGAATGAAAAAAGAAGTTCTGCAAGGGCTTGATGGAATTGACACAAAGAGGCTGTTTGCACTGCTTTCAGAGTTCAAAATATATAACTTCAGATTTATCTTCACTGAACTGCATTTAATTACAACAGATGGATTATTAAAAGAATTCTTCTGACTTCAAATCTAAACCTGCTCAGTTTTGGCAGTGGCCACAACAATTAAATGCTATGATAGTAAAGAGACATAAATCACAAACATCTACAACACGGAATTGCATATTATAAAGCCCCTGCTCTTGCTGTCATAAAACATAAAGAATGAAACACACATATGCTGTCAAAAGTAAATGATTCTCTGCACCAGATTAATGAACAGAAATTTAAAAAAGCAACTTAATCTCATGCAGTGCTTTGTCTTAAACAGCAGATGCACTACTTATTCGAAAACAAACCATTTCAAAGCTTCAGTGTTTTTCTGGAACAAATTGGGCAAAGATAAAATGAACTGATTGGAAATTCTCAAACTCAAAGCATGACTATTTAAACAAAACCTTAAAGGTGGAGCAACGTCTCAAGGAGAGACGACATTCAGATTTATAATATCCTGCACTTACAATGGTGGTCTTTAAATATACATTCGCACAACTGCAAGAACTGTACTACTGAGGGCGATGTTACTCCAACTGTAGTGTAGGAATTTAACTTATGAAAACGAAATTAGGTTTAAGAAAACCATCATTCCACTTCCCTTTACAACCCCGCTTTCTACAAGCAGAATTGGTTTTAGATGCCCATTCACACAACATACATGACAATTCAACTTCCTGGAAAACAAAGAAATGTATTTCTAAAAGCATTGTAATTTTCAACTCAAGAGAACCATTTTCATTTCCAGCTGCTTGGCAAAAAACAGGTAAGAGTCAATGCCAAATTAAACAAACAAAAAATAAGTTAACTCGTTTTGGAAAAAGTAATGTTTACTCTTATGTTGCGCCAGCTCATCAGAAAGGGCCGGATTTACCTTCTGCATCCTACTGCGCTCAATTCTGGTTCTGTTACTCGGCATTTATGCCAATGTTTGGTGTGGAAGGTCTCAGCTCTGAAGATTCACCAGTTCACAACTGCCGCGGAAGCTCCTTCAGCAGGTTTTTAAATACCGCCCTGTTACTCCCCACCCCGATCTTGTCTCGGGTTTATTTTGTCCCAAACTGTGTCCTTAGTGGGGTCTGCAATGGATCTGTTAGGTGTGTCGC